AATAACGTTATATTAGTGAGAATCCACATCGAGCACGCACCAGTAGTGGAACCGAAAGCACACACGAAACGGAAAAGGAATTCATCCGACACTGATCTGTAACTCGATCTTTACGCACCTTGGTTCTGTCTAGACAAACGTCATGTGTAAAACCGATTGGACAAGACAACCAATATGTTAGCCAGACCCAAATATTTGTGGAGTCTCCTGCACAGCTGCGACTCACACGGCGCCGTCTGGCTCGGCTGAGGGTGGAGGGCGGAGGCCAGGTACGGAGAAAGCGAAAAGGGTGAGGGGCAGGCAGGCCGGAGGGCGAGGTTTTAGGGCGAAGTTTTTGGGCGAGGTTTTAGGGCGAGGAGGGATTGGTATGGTGAGGAAGGAAGGAAATATGGTGAGGAAGATCGGGGAGAAAGAACACTGGGTCAAGTGGGAGACACTACAGGAGAGGCAGGGACTAAGACTGGTGTACTTGATACACTGCGAAAGTGAGATAGATATTAAAGATCCATTTATATATATATATATATATATATATATATATATATATATATATTTTAATATGTATGTATGTATGTATGTATGTATGTATATGTGTTTACAATCTTGTATGTATATATACTTATAAATACATTAACCCACACACAGACGCACACACGTAGACGTATCCAGATATAGCGATTTAACGAGTTAATGAGCATTCCATTTTAAAATAACAGAGGCTCCCCTCCGCCAGACGCCAAAAATGACTACAAAGAAAACGGAAGTGACATGTACGGCGGAACACGCGTCGGCGGTGACAGGCAAGGCTGTTCAAATCTTTCAAAATGACTTCCTCAAATCGACAGTCATATCGATTCTTGATAAAGAATACTTCAGAATATCACTTATATATAGATCTTGATATTGGTGGCAACGTAAGGATATGACAAGGGAGAAAACCGTGTTGGAAAGAGAATCGATGATACTGGTTTGGGTTTTCTGCGGAAGAACAGCCACGTCTCACCTGCATGGCGTCGCTGTAAGCTGCAAGGACAATTTGTAAGATTTCCCGGGTTTTGCGGGAAAGGAAACTTTGAACGCGAACATTTTATATATTTGTATATACAGAATGTAGGCACGTGGCCATTTTTACACATTAATATTATAACGCCAACAGCCTTGTATCTAGCCTTACAAAATCGAAACAAGTAAACAAGCAAACGAAACAAACAACCGAACTAGTGATACACGAATAACTAAATGTATAACTAAATGAATAAAGACTCCTTTCAGCGGAAATTTGTCACTTGCAATTAAAGCGCTTAATGGCAAACGCCGTGACAAAGTGTTTGCAATACAGGAAGCCGCACAAGGATTTTTGAGAAAAGACGAATCATGCAAAGCTATCTGAATGCAACACGTACGATTCTTTTTATTAGGAGCTTATGTGAGTAAAGAAAGAAAAAAAAAGAATGGAAATGAAGAAAGAAAGATAAGTTAAGGAGGAGGAGGAGGAGAAGGAGAAGAGGAATAATAATAATAATAATAATAATAATGATAATAATAATAATGATAATAATAAGAAGAACAAGGAGAAGAAGGAGAAGAAGAAAAAGGAGGAGGAAGGGAAGAAAACTGACTCGATAACATAAAAATCCCAAGATGCCACAGAAAGAGACAAAGGAAAATAATTTAATTGCAAAAAAAAAAAAAAAAAAAAAAAGATCTCTTGAGCTAACTACACGTGTCAAGTCCTAGAAAAACGAATCCCTTTAAGCCCGCGGGCCCTCGGAGGTGCTTCGCCGGGGGGTGGCGTTCGGGATGAGCGAGGAGGCAGCGCGTGCACTCGCCATGACTCACACGACTCAGTGAATCAGCGACTCACGGACCTGAACCGAAGCCTTGTTGTTGACCACACGACCCTGACCCCCCTCCCCTTTGGTCTTGCCCCTGTCCCTCCCCTTGCCCCTCCTCTTCTTTCTTCCTTATCTTCTCCATTCCTCGTTCCTTTCTTTTTTTTATCCCCCACTTACACCAGCTCCTCTGACCACCTTTCCTTTCCCCTCCCGTCCTTCTTTCCGTTCCCTGTCCTTTTACCTATCCCCCTCCCTCCCCTCCCTACTTCCCTCCGTCTCCTGTCCATCCCTCCTTCCCTTTTACCTCCTTGCACCTGCCCTCCCTTCCCCTCCCCCTGCCCCTCCCACGTACACCTGCCTCTTTGTTGTTTGAATTATTTAGTATTAATGATATATTCTCCTTCTTCCCGGGATAGAGTCATAGTCCGTGATCCGCCCAGCCAGTGAGTGCGCGCGGTGTTGTCATCTTGAGATCGGAAATTTGATTGTGAAAGAGGTTGTTCCTGCGAATCGCTCGCGGGAGTAGAGTGGGTTGTTTAAGAGCGTTGGTAATGACATTTCGTGGGATCTTCTCCTCTTTTCTGTCTCTGTCTGTCTGTCTGTTTCTGCCTCTCTCTTGTCTGTTTTTCCTGTCCCGTCTCCCTTTTCCTTCTCTTTTGATCTCATCTCCTTCGCCTCCTTGTCTCTCCCACTGCTTTTCCTTCCACTCCTGATATCTCTCTCATTCTCCTCTCCCCTCATTTCTTCTCGTCTCCCTCTCCATCCTCCCTCCCCTTCTACCCCTTAAGGTCATTTTCAGTTCTCATGTTCCCCTTTCCCCCGCCGCCGTCGGACCTTAATACCCGCCTGACCTTTCCCTTCGGCGGCAGGTGTGGCTGAGTAACCTTTAGGAAAATTGCCCTTGTCTGCTTTATTGAGTGACCGCTTCCTCGGGCAGATCGCCGGGTTGTGCGAATTGCTTCTTCGGCCAACCATGAGACCCTTTTTATTTCATCATCCGCGTGGTTGGTTTTATGATAATAATAACAATGGCATTAATGATAATAGTGATATCAATAATAATAATGATAAGAATGATAATAATGGTAAGAAGGATAATGCCATTGATAATAATAGTGATAATTATAACAATAGTACTAGTGATGATGATAATGATAATCATAATTTTCATAGTTACTGTTGCTGTTGTTACCATTATTATAATCATTTTTATCATCGTCACAAATGATATATCTTCGTGCTTTCCAATATGTTCACCATGTATAGCAAATAATAATTCGAGCCCGCCTTGTCCATTTTCTCGGGTCAATCGCACCTGTTGATTAATTATGACGTCAATAGCCTCGTCGAGACTTCGGGGGCCCAGACGGATCGATCGCGGCGCCGGAACAGCGCGTGAAAGTTTGATGCGCTTTTTCCGTGAGTCACGGTCGGGCCGCTGCCCACGGAACGGAAATGGCGGGCGCGGCATAGAGCGCACACACACACACACACACACACACACACACACACACACACACACACACACACACACACACACACACACACACACACACACACACACACACACACACATGCACAAGCGCCCATACTCCCACACACACAGAGAGATCCTTGCATGCACAGCAAGATCCTTATGCGCAATCGCAATTATACTGGCGAACATTGATAATAATAATGAAAACACAAATGATGATCATACCATAAAAATCACAGTAACGAAGACGGTAATAAACGGACAGAAAACCGCACGGCCAAAATGATGAACGTAACAGAACTAAGCGAAAAAGAGAGAAGAGAGAGAGAGAGAGAGCGAAGGAGAGAGCGAGAGAAAGCGAAAAAAAAGCTTTTATCATAATGCAGAGAGCAGGCAAACGAACTCCTCCTCCTTCACATAAGCTACCAGAGCACCAACCCGCCCCGTCCCCTCCCCCTCCCCTCCTCCCCCCCCTCCTTCACGATTATCCACGAATGAGAATAAAAACGCAAAATGAAAATTATCCGCGAAGGGATGCTGTTTATAAGCCAAACGAGACGAGAAATTGTCCCTTTTTGCGAGGCGTCTTTGGTTTAGCATTCCTTGTTATTACGCTGTGCTCTTCTCCTCTCCGCTGCCTTGCCTGCTGTTCAATTTTATGCTGTCTTTCTCGTTCTCTTTAGCTTTTCCTCTGTTTTTCATCTCCCTTCTTCTTTCCCTTTCCCCTTTCCTCTCTGTGATGGAGTTTACACTCAATTTCTGGCTAATTCTCGTAGGTAATATCCGACTTAAAGGGCAGAATGACATGCTTTTCTCTGTCGTATATTTTTTTGGTGGATGTTATTCCTGGCTTGCATATATATATATATATATATATATATATATATATATATATATATATATATATATATATATATAATATATGTGTGTGTGTGTGTGTGTGTGTGTGTGTGTGTGTGTGTGTGTGTGTGTGTGTGTGTGTGTGTGTGTGTGTGTGTGTATTTGCATTTCAAAGTACATGCATTTACATAAAAATATTGACCAATAGATGAATTTGATATATACAAATTCATACGATATGTGTCGCCTATTCACATATGGGTACGTCTTTCCCCCACGCTAATCCGGTTGTGACCTGCTCGGCTGATTGAAATAAGAATCATATTTGCATTTCCACTCTAAAGCAGATCACGACTGACATACATATTTTTTTCTCAACTAACGGTCTCAATAGATATAATACCATGGTATAAATCTGATTTAATGTCGATTTGATGGGGATAATTTCAGTCCAAAGTTGTCATGCAAAGGAAACCTCAGCGAATCAAGAATTTAGTTCAGCGTAGTTGTCGAAAGTTCAAAAAAGCGATTTCGAACAGGATGATTTTCATAACGCTCGCTCCGGAATCACGGCTTGACTCTCTCAAAACGCTAACTATTATTTTTCGAATTGCAACGTCTTTGCCGATGATTACATTTTTTTTTCTCCCCCAACCATTGATGATGACGAGACATCTTTCCATTTTGTCTTTGTTATTCACGGTAATGAATACAGTTAATGAGTTTAATGCACTTTTCAATGAACCCATTTTTATTTGTGCTAATGCGTGTCTTTATATCGCAATCTATATATCTATCTATCTGTAATTACACAGTTATCTCTCTCTCTCCCTCCATCCCTCTACTGAATCTACCACTACATTTCGGAAAGGAAATTCAATTGTTTTTTCTTCTCTTCGCAGCGTGAGTGCATCAGCGTCCACATCGGTCAGGCCGGCGTGCAGATCGGCAACGCTTGCTGGGAACTGTACTGCTTGGAACACGGAATCCAGCCCGACGGCCACCTCGGTAAGTGTGCTCGATCGCTCTGTGTTTTCCCATATACACTGTATTTCCTTTGGCATTTATATTTTTTTCTTTTCTCACATTTATACTTGTTCTTTATATTCTTCTCACCTTCTCTCTATCTAGTTTTTACTTATATTTTCTTTCTATATTCACATTTTCTCCTTATGATTTATGCTTATACTTTTCCCCAGTCAGAAAGTGGAAAGTAAAAGAGACTAAATGTAGTAGACTACATTCATACCAGAAGATTTTTACTAACCTTTGTTAAATTCTCTCTCAGCCGAAGATGTTGCTCAAGAGGAAAATATGTACACAACCTTCTTCCAAGAGACAGGAAGGGGCAAATATGTCCCACGTGCAATCTACGTGGATCTGGAACCTACTGTTGTTGGTAAGTGATCGTGCGTTAATTTCCACGAGTTACCCATAACAATATGGTTTTCTTTGAATTAGAGGGAACTCCCTTTTCGCTGGTAAACTTTGTTATTTTCAATAAAATGTCTTTACTATGTCATTTGCTTTACCTATGTAATATAACCAAGTAAAATCTAGACTTTAACGCAAAAAATAACTTTGACAAATATTGTGACTCCAAAAGGAAAAGTTAATATAACCATGATTTAACGTAGAACTTAGCCCTGCAGTTACATACATTCGTAATCCTACAGAATACTACTACTGTGGTGAAACTGTTTCCTCACTGCTAGCGCATCGAACTGTGTTTTAACCCACATTTTCTTTGAAGCCAACAAACATTTATCGGATAAATAAAATTAACCCGTCCCTGGTGCTTCAGACGTGGTCAGGACCGGCCCTTACCGCCAACTGTTCCACCCTGAACAGCTGATCAATGGTAAGGAGGACGCAGCCAACAACTACGCTCGTGGCCATTACACCATTGGGAAAGAACAAGTGGATTTAGTCATGGACAAGCTGCGCAAGATGGCAGATGCTTGCTCAGGTCTTCAGGTAAGATTTCTGACTGAAGTTGATAAGTGTGAAGAAAATATCCAGAAAAAAAAAATGGGAAGAGAGTGTAAGATTTCTTCAGATATCATGGCCGTGGGAATTTTCGAATCTTGTTTTCTCATCGCGTTAAGAGAAAATTCATGGGAAAAATGGCAATGATATGACTGATTGCAAACGAAACATAAAAAAAGAGAGAGAACGAGACAACTTATGCACCATCATGTTAGAGGGAGAGACTGCCCTACATGAAGAACCGAAACACGGACACACATAAAATAAACAAAACAAAACAGGACCTAATTTCTTCTGCATCCACAGGGCTTCCTCGTCTTCCACTCCTTCGGCGGAGGCACCGGATCTGGCTTCACGTCCCTTCTGATGGAAAGACTCTCGGTTGACTACGGCAAGAAGAGCAAACTGCAGTTCACCGTGTACCCCGCCCCACAGGTGCGCATTGGAGGGTCTGTAAGGGGGAGGGAGTGGGAGAAGGAGAGGGAGGGGAGTGGGTGTGGGAGTGGGAGTGGGAGTGGGAGAGAAGGAACGGGAGAGAGGGAAAGGGGGAGAGGGGAAGGGGGAAGGGGGAAGAAGGAGAAGAAGAGAAGGAAGAAGGAGAAAGGGAAGGGAAGGGAAGGGATAGAGAGAGAGAGAGAGAGAGAGAGAGAGAGAGAGAGAGAGAGAGAGAGAGAGAGAGAGAGAGAGAGAGAGAGAGAGAGAGAGAGAGAGAGAGATAAGAGAGAAAATGAGAAGAAAGAAAGGGAGAGAGAAAGAGAAAGAGAAAGAGATGGCGACCAACTCTGACAACCTCACGAACGACGAGACTCACCCTCCTCCTCCTGCCGCCTTCCCAGATCTGCACGGCGGTCGTCGAGCCCTACAACTCCATCCTGACGACCCACACGACCCTCGAGCACTCCGACTGCGCCTTCATGGTCGACAACGAAGCCATCTACGACATCTGCAGGAGGAACCTGGGCATCGAGCGCCCCTCCTACGAGAACCTCAACCGCCTCATCGGCCAGATCGTGTCGTCCATCACCGCGTCGCTCAGGTCAGTTCATGGCCACGGAAAGGTCTTAACAAAGGTCGAGGTCAAATCAGTCGCTCAAGTCAGTTCACGGCCGGAAAGGTCATAACAAGGTCGTGGTCAAAATCAATCGCTCAGGTCAGGAAAGGTCATAAAAAAGGTCGAGGTCAAAATTCGCGCTCAGGTCACTTTACGGTTACGAAAAGGTCATAAAATAGGTCGAAGTTAGAAAACGATCCAGAATATTTTAGTTGAGGTAGAAAGTAGTGTTAGGATGTCAGAAAACAAGAAGAAAATCTTTGTAAATGTTTAGGAAAATTGGAGAAAGATAAGGCATTCTTTACGAAGGTGACAGGAAATAGGAGAGGATAAATAGGGATTCTTTACGAAGACAAAAGCAAAATGTTCGGAAAGTATTTTAGAAAATGTTTTTAATTTGTGTTTATAAAAGACGCGTGTTTGTTCTCGAAAGATAGTTTGTCAGAAGAAATGAGACGTTCTTTCAATTTGTTAGATTGTTAGGAGACAGGAGGGACTTTTGCTTAGAATCATAAGATAAAGACTGCATTTATTCACTTCGACATACTAAACAAACACCTTTACCATTCGCACGCACACACACACACACACACACACTCTCACATTCACCCCCCCTCCTCTCTCACACACACACACACCAATACCCTCTATTCGCCGCCTCCCTCCCACCACCCTCCCAGAACCGTACCCGAAAGACCAGACTCTTAAACCCCGCGCCCATTCTTCCCCAACAGGTTCGACGGCGCCCTCAACGTGGACCTGACCGAATTCCAGACCAACCTCGTGCCTTATCCCAGGATCCACTTCCCTCTCGTCACGTACGCGCCCGTGCTCAGCGTGGAAAAGGTCAGTGCGGGAAGCTTCAGATCTACAACTGGTAGTGATGATACAATCATATTAATAACCATGCTACTATTGCTACGACAGCGGCAGCAGGAGTCAATTCTATTACTACTTTTACTGTTGTTAACGACAGAGATAAATATAATGGCAATTATGATATAACACTTATGATCAGTAAATATGAGGATAATATACTACATGACCGAAGCCTCATTTCTTGTGTGTATGTGGATTGTGAACATACACCCACCCCCTTTGTCGCTGGTCCGCAATATCCCGTTCTTCGATTCCCATAATGCAATATTCCCGTTTTGTGTCCTTGCAGGCTTACCACGAACAGCTGTCTGTGGCCGAGATTACAAACGCTTGTTTCGAGCCCAACAACCAGATGGTGAAGTGTGATCCCAGGCACGGTAAGTACTGGCAGTGCAATCGTGATCTCAATCTTGATATCATGATTCGATATCGTCATGGTGGATATTGGCTGTACATGATGGATATTACAATATAGATATTGTTGTTAACATGCTGTTGATTGCCAGTAGATTAATAAAATCATGATAAAAAAAATCAAGAATTAATAATGCAATATTCAATCTTTAAAAAGCTTTAGATGGCCTTTGATAAAACCACGAAAGGTGTTACATTTGTTTTCTCGCAATCTTCATTATTGGTGTGACGTATTGCAGGAAAATACATGGCATGTTGCCTGCTGTACCGTGGAGACGTTGTCCCCAAGGATGTCAACTCTGCCATCGCTGCCATCAAGACAAAGAGGCAGATTCAGTTCGTGGACTGGTGTCCTACTGGCTTCAAGGTAAGGCCCGGTGGCTCAGAACTTCTCGTGTCTTATATGTGAATTGTGATATTCCCTCATGTAGATTGTCCCGTTTATATTTATATGTATATTTCTCTTTAAATGCATAGTAATATCATATTTAATATCTGTAATATCATCTTTCTGTCGTCTACATGTTTTGTTTTGGTTAGGATGTAATGAAGGATTTATCGTTACATGACCAATACCAAACATATTCCTCAAACGTTTACGGCATATTATGTAGAAAACAAACTAAAAAATTTTTTGGTGCGACTTCCTGGAAAACTAACCTTTCCACGCATCCAAGTCGACGTTAACCTTTTTCTAAATCCAATTCGAAAACCAACTACTTTTCCTCAACTTCTTCAGTTGGGCATCCTGTAGCCATTTCGAAAACCAACTTATATTTTGTCGAACTTCCTCAGGTGGGCATCAACTACCAGGCTCCCACGGTGATCCCCAACGGCGACATGGCTCCCACACAGCGCGCCGTGTGCATGATCTCCAACACGACCGCCATCGCCGAGGCTTGGGCCAGACTCAACCACAAGTTCGACCTCATGTACTCCAAGCGCGCCTTCGTTCACTGGTAAGCTTTTTAGTTTTATCGCTTTTTCTCTCTATTTTAAAAATAAAATTTCTTTTGTTGGGAGTGTATAGATTTCGTTTTATATATAGAGTATAGATAAACTTCTGTTATATGCTGATGCATTTGCTTTCCTTGTAAAAAAAGAAAATAGTCTTTAAAATTCTTGTCGACCACTATCTATAAATCCATGATTCCCCTTTGGTTATTTAGTTCATGGTTTAAGTATAAGATCCAGGCCGTAATCTCAGTCCCCTCGCTGACCCTGTAAACCAGAAGAGACTAATGCTATCATGACACAGCTATTAGGTTCTTAGTAAGACATTGCGCTAGTATATTGCTAAAGAAACTGACGTCATTTATCCCACTTACTACAGGTACGTCGGAGAGGGCATGGAGGAGGGTGAGTTCGCAGAGGCTCGCGAAGACTTGGCTGCCCTCGAGCACGACTACGAGGAGGTGGCCCAGGACTCGAACCAGGACGAGGACGAGGACATCGAGTATTAAGGAGGGGCGAGAGGAGGCGGAGCGGCGGGGATTCGAGTCCGTCGTGGAGAGCGAGAAGGAGGGAGAGAGAGTGGGAAAGAAGGGGGAAGAGGAGACGGAGAGGAAAGGAAACAGAGAAAAAAATAGAGATGGAAAGAGCTGGTGGATATGAAAGAGAGAAAGAGAGGGGTAACAAGTAGAAAGAGGGAAAAGAGAGAGAAAACAGCCTTCTATTTGTTTGTTTATAACTTGAACGCTAAAATATAATAAGAGAGCTGGCTGGACTGCAGATGGGACCAAAGATTAGACAGTGAGAGGTGGAAGCCTAGTGCTCACTAATTCATAAGATTAGTAGCAATGTTAGTCATGTTTGTTTTTGTTAATTATATGAATAGTTAAAGGAAAGAAAACTTGATCTGAATACTTTATGAACAGGGTATATGATACGAAGCTTATAGCCAAAGAAATTCCATATTAAGAAAACATGATAATGGTGAATACCAAAGACCAAACACAATCCTAAAGAAAACCTAAAAGAGGATGCCTTTTCAGGAGAACATAACAAGATAAGACGCACAAAATAAGAAATAAACCAAACCCACAAGAAGTCATACTTAAAAAAAATCTTTTCCTAATCTTTGTAAAGGTTTGGCTCAAGTGAAATGGCAATGTTAATGCTCAATGGAACATGTTCATCATGATGCTCACTGCTCCTTAGTGTTGAATAGCCTTCCATTTTATTTATTTACAATAAACTGCTTTACGGAAAAGTAGATTCCAGCCTCGACACGAGAGGCACTATATTACTCTATTCGTCTGCTATGAAAATAATGATAAACAGACATTTCTTCAAGGAAATTATAAGCTTTAGTTATGATTAGTGGATGTCACTTGTATGTTTTGATCCTATACAATGAAAAAAAAAAGAAAAAAAGACAAAAAAATCGTTCCTCACTTTCCTTCAGCACAAGCAGCATCCTTCATTCACACTGTGGCTTAATGTTTACGCTAAGTGCCCCGGCGGACCCTGAGAGCGGCCGCTAAGTGTTACTTACGGTAAGGACATGTTTTCTACTCGTTTTGTATATTTCTTCAATAAAATATATAAGTTATGAAGAACTGTTGTGTTTTGCTGACGAACCTACGAATTGGGGTAATAGTCGAAGAGGGAAAGTATCAGAAATGCATAAAGGGCACATATATTTACACACGCAGACATATATAAACATACATATATATGGATGTACATATTCATTTTCGCAAACACACACACACACACACACACAATTACAATACACATACATTTGCATGTATATATATATTCACAACACACACACACACACACACATATACATATATACACATGCATAGATAGATAGATACATAGATCTATATCTATCTACTTGTCTATCATTCTGTATATCAATCCATCTATAAAAGTATATATATATATATATATATATATATATATAATATATATATATATATATATATATATATATATATATATATATATATATATATATATATATATATATATATATGTATGTATATATATATATATATATATATATATATATATATATATATATATATATATATATATATATATATAAATATGTGTGTGTTGGTGTGTGTGTGCGCGCGTGTGTGTGTTGGTGTGTGTGCGCGCGTGCGTGTGTTGGTGCGTGTGTGTGCGCGCGCGTGTGTGTGTGTATGTATGTATATATAATGCATACAACACACACACACACACACCACACACACACACACACACACACACATATATATATATATATATATATATATATATATATATATATATATATATATATGTCGATATCATTATTTATTCGACCTAAAAAAGGTGCGTTGCTTCTAATTTCAAAGATGTATATGTCACCGAAACATTTGTTTACATATTCTTATATTTCTAATGGCATGTCAATATAGCAAAAGTTAGTGTTCTAAGAAATAGAATATATTGATAATTTATAAATGGTTCTTTTGTTTAAATGTTAATAATTTATTTCGGGGGAAGCAATAAGTTCGTTATTTTAACGATTTCTCGTCAGACGAGTCGTTGCTGTCCTCCCATGTACAGGTAAGGCTTAGTGCTGGTATTCGAAGTCGTGCTTTACTCTATTATAGATTGTAATGCTTGAAAAGTGTATTAACGTAATTGTTAAATCCCTTTGTATTTATTTATGATAATTGAGATGAGTCGTTGTTGTCCTCCTGTGTACAGAGACAGAAATAATTGAGAAAATGCGGGAAGAACATCATGACATAATGCTTTGTTGCTCGGGTACATTCATTTGTTATTTATTCAGTTATTTTAATGGTCCGTGGATACAGCAACGGAAGTAGTCGTAGGAGACAGTTCCGATGATATCAATGGCTGATTGAGAATGATATATTATTGGAGTGAAGTGTAAGAGAAGGAAATTGTAAAGATTAAAGGAAGGGGAACGATGGGCTTATGTCCTAGTAAAATCATGAATAGAATATTGATAGACTGGGTGTGAGGGTCCCGATTCTGTCTCATGTACACTTTTATTTTGTTTATTAAAATCATATTGATTCGTAATTAGTGGGAAAAGGGAGGTTATAGAGTTAACCTTTGATATGAATTAAATTACCTAAGAATATTGCTTATTTAAATTGTTTATTACTAAGATTCACAGAATGATATGCCACCTGTTCATTATTATTTGGTTATTGAATGAAATATTAATGGTTAGAATGTTTGTATGACCGTTATAATAGGGCACACAACAGAGGAATGAATTTATCCCCCCCCCACGAGTCTTGAAAGACCGTTAAAGTCACGCTATGCAAAAAAATAACGGTACAATAAATGCAGTTAGAATAGGTCTACATTTAGATAAATTGGTATATGAAAATCTCACTAATATGACATCTTTGCAAAAATTTATTAGAATAAAATCTGATAAACTAAGAATAGGAAAAATTCCCGTCCCTCACACACACACACACAGACACACACACACACACACACACACACACACACACACACACACACACACACACACACACACACACACACACACACACACACACACACACACACACACACACACACACACACACACACACACACACATACCATATATGTGTGTATATATATATATATATATATATATATATATATATATATATATATATATATATACATACTACATACATACATACATATATATATATATATATATATATATATATATATATATATATATATATATATATATGAAAATGAAACTAGCCATAATGAGAATTGAAAATAAGCGTGACGTTTCGAACTCTTCGAGAGTTCCTCTTCAGACAAAAACCGAAATGGATCCATTTCGGTTTTTGTCTGAAGAGGAACTCGCGAAGAGTTCGAAATGTTTTTTTTTTCATTTCTCATTGTGGCTAGTTTCATTTTCATTTTTGTGTTCACGTAATTGTGGTTTGTGCTTGTGTTCATATATATATATATATATATAATATATATATATATATATATATTATAATATATATATATATATATATATATATATATATATATATATATATATATATATATATATATATATATATATATATATATATATATATATATATATATATATATATATATATATACATATGAATATATATATATATATATATATATATATATATATATATATATATATATATATATATATATATATATATATTATATATAATATGTATATATATATAATATATATATATATATATATATATATATATATATATATATATATGTATATATATGTATATATATTATAAATATATATGTAAATATATGTATATATACATATATATGTATATATAATGTATATACACACACACACACACACACACACACATGTATATATATATGTATACACACACATACACACATATATATGTATATATATATGTGTGTATATATATGCCTTATGTGTTTGTATGTGTGTTTATGTTCATGTATGTGTATAAATATATCCATATCTATGAATCATCAAAGAAGAAGCGTTCCTTAGTAACTTTTGTCAACAAAACTATTGTAAAAGAACGAAACGCCATGAAGGATGCAACGAATAATCCAACCTGTACTAAATATTTTGGCTGTGCAACCTAATAAAATAATGAATAACATTGCGGTCAAAGGTATTGGTCGCATCAGAGACAATCAGACGCCAGATGATAATTATAAGTTTGAGATGATGAAAGTTAGGTGTCGTTATGGCAATCTTGTGATTTATGAGTGATAATTAACAATACCAACGGTATTTGCCACTCACCTGAACGTGGGTATCATGCATTCACAAAGCTTGCGGTATCGATAAATATATGTCGTACACACACACACACACACACACACACACACACACACACACACACACACACACACACACACACACACACACCACACACACACACACACACACACACACACACTCTTCCATATCCTCTCTCTCACACAACCAACTTCCCCATTTCTCCTCCACCAAGTACCTCCCCCTCCCCCCACAAACCCTCCTACCCATTCCCACACACCTACATTCCTCCCCCGCCCCTCACCTCCATCTCTCCGCCCCGTAACCCCGCCCACACCAAGCCAAACACGTCAGTTTTGCATGAAGACTGGAGGACTGAGTTCGCCAGGGTTAGTATTGGCAGCATGTAGGACTTGCATCATTACGTCTCCCCTCACTTAACTGGATGCAGCTGGCTCGCCTCAGCCTTAACTGATAAACGGTTACATGTTGGTGTAATACAGTAATGCCGGTTTATTTTGGAGAGCTATCATCTGTTTTTGGCTTCTGCACTGAGCTTGCGTATTATTATTTTCTGCTTCTTCCTGTTTTTACTTACTGAGGCGGTTCTTGTTCAGTGCTGCTAAAGGAACGCTTTGGGTGACTCTTTTGTTTAGAATTGGTCACTAAAGGAACGGTTTGGGTTTGATAAGTGGTATTTGTGATTTCTTTTTCTTGGGTGTGATTTGAATAGTATGTGTGTTTGTTTCCTTGTGTATGTCTGGCTGAGTGTGCGTGTGTTTATATGCCTATAGATTTATATGCATGTGTATCTGTCTGCATGTTATTGTGAATACTGATACTGGAAAGAGGTCCTTGAAAGTTTTACAAAAATGTAAAATTATACATTTCCGTCACTATAAGCAATTTTCCTATCTATTCAAACACACACACACACACACACACACACACACACACACACACACACACACACACACACACACACACACACACACACACACACACCACACATATACATATATATATATATTTATATATATATATACATATACACACACACACACACATATACACACGCACACACACATATATATACACACACATACAATGCACACACAGATATATATATATATATATATATATATATATATATATATATATATATATTATATATATATATATATATATTATATTATACATATATATATATATATATATATATGTATATATATATATATATATATATATATATATATATATAATATATACTATCTATATATGTATATATTATATAATTATATTATATATATATATATATATATATATATATATATATATATATATATATATATATATATAATATATATATGTGTGGTGATATATATATATATATATATATATATATATATATATATATATATATATATATATATATATATATTTATGCGTGTATGTGTGTGTGTGTGTGTGTGTGTGTGTGTGTGTACATAGACATATATATGTATGTATGTGTGTGTATGTATGTGCGTGCGTGAATTTACACATAGGATTTTATACATGTTCGTCTACAGGAAGATGTAACATAAAACTACAGTCTAAATTGATATATTTATTCAGGAAACTGATGGACAATCTAGTTATCACATTATATAAGAAAACGTCAACTGATGATACACTTTCACCAAAGTATACAAAGTAGACGGCCTAAGAGCAAGAACATAAGCAAGAATCAGTTCGTATCGTAGATCGTCAGCTGATCGGTCGTCGCAAAACATGTCGAGGACATGAATGCGCCGCCGCCTGTTTGTTGTCCTATTCTC